CAACCACAGCTGAAATGATCACTCACCCTGCAGAGCAGTTAGAAACATCGCTTGAACAGCATGTGGGAAATTTCATAGGCAAGAAGGACACAAGCTTCAGCTGTTTCTCAAGCAAATGCAACTCTGACTAGTATGTTTATTCCTTAAGAGTATCTCCACCAGGGAAACAGTAAGGATTCCACATAAAGTCAAATGAAGTATTGCGGAATGGAGAATTATTTGGGGAAAGAAAACCCCACATTTTGCCAAACTTCACAGAGAAAAGCAACAAACTTTCTGAAAGCTTCCAAAACAAAAATGGTAGAACATTTTTAAACTTAATTGTATTTTTCTCCTCAGCTCAAATATTTTTGCTTTTTGGACTAACTTCAAGCAGCAATTATCTAAATGCAGAGCGGTCTATGTATAAATTACTAAGTGAGGCTGACCTGGAGCTGACAAAAATAGACATAAGCACAGCATCCAAAAGCTCCTCTGTTTCCCTGTTGCCTTTTGAAGGCAGCAGGCTTGCTTCAGGCTTGCCAAAGCCAAGCTATGTTGGGCACATCAATCACCACTTTCCAATACAAATAAATATATTGGAACAGTTTAGAATAAGGTCTCTATAACTTGCATTCTCCCAGCTGCTTTGCTGCTGCCTTTTGTATATATTTGACAAACCTAAACCTACCAGGTTCCCCACCAAAAAGAAAGAAAAAATTACCAACTAACCTTCTGGCTGATATATGGCTGCCCAGTGAACCTCTCAGAGGGAAAAGTAATGGTCTCTTAAGTAAAAATCACTTAAGAGAAGCTTATATTAAGGAACTCTTGTAGGTACTTGATGCTTATTAGCAAAAAGAACTGAAAGTGTTCTCCATTTTTTGCCTTAAAAGCTTGGTTGATAAAAAAAGTTACACAGGGATAAAAGAAGTCGGAGCACCACAAGAACTTTCTCATGATAACCCTTCTATTCATTTTAATCAAAAGGCTTGAGGCAGCTAGTTTATTCTCCAAGTTGATGTCTTGTTAGAGAGGATTGTAGCTTAGTGTTCTCAATACACCTCTTCTCTCTCTTAGTTCTCCCAAGTCAGTAGGACTCATTCACATACTTGTAGGATGTACTAAGCTCTATAGAAATAAACTTCTTTTTTATTACTTATATCATCACACCATTGGTTCCTCAAGAAAGAAGGCACCAATTTGCTTTTCAGAATCAAACAGAAGTTTAGATTTCCTCTGATAAATATTTTAGAAGTTGCATACATAGTGCTCATTAATGTAAAAGTAAATGCAAAACATTACTTAAATACAAAAACATTTGAATTTTGGGTAAGAAAAGGTAATATAATTAGAACAAAGATCGATTTTAGGTGTGTTTAATTATTAAACACACCTTAGTGCACTGATCATTTATAAAGGGCAGCTAGGTGTAGCAAAGAAAGCCTGCTTAGTAAAACGACGTGACGTATCTGAAATGACCTCAGGCTGTAAGAACACTTGCAGTTATCAGTAAAATAATTAGATCCCCAGAAATCAGAATAACTTTCAAGGCTCCTTTTTTTTGTTTTCAGGCCTCAAAGTGTACAAGATGTGTTGGAAATTTCATGTGCTTAAGAAACATGCCAGATTGCAAGAAAAAAAGGGAGGGAAAGGACAAGCATTAAATATTTGTGGAATGGGTTTGACTTTTTCAGAGAGGCCAACCTTTCCAACTAAACAGATTAGGCTACCACATCTGGGATTTAATCAAAAAAGTATTTTGTCTGGACTGACCTCCCCAGAGACTACTGCTTGCCACCAATTTCTAGTAGCAGCAGTAAGCTTTTTCAGATATTCACCTATTTATTAGTGCACTTGTTTATATATTTAAAATGGAGATTCTGGAATTAAAAGAAATGTGTGAGAATGGTAGATGAATAAGTATATGGCCGATAGAATAAATTTAGGTGAACTGAAATAGCAGGAGTAGAGCAATTGTGGTTAAAAAGACAATTAAATGTGATAAAGTATAAAGTCAAATGAAGTATTGCCTTCATTTGATGTTTTGTGTCTTGTGTACAGTTCTTTACAGATGAAACCTGAACTAAGAACCTTTGTATTTCTACATTATTTCTCTACCTACTCAGCAAGAGCTGAATCTTTCTCAGTTTTATTGGAATTCTTTTTCTTTTCTGTGCCCTTTGTAGCATGGAGAAGATAAGGTCAATAAAAATACTAGACTTCCAACTCCATTAGCTTCTCTGCATCCTGCTTGAACATACTCTCAGTTTTTACTTCTGCTCAGCAATGTAGAACATTGCTTAAGCACAATAAGCTTCAATTAGCTTTCAGCCAGACCTTGGCCAGTGAAATGCCACCACCCTTATCTCTCTGTTCTGATTTCATGGTATGACTTTCTTTGATCATTTCAGAAATTGAGTCCCTAGTTTTAGCTGACTTCCAGCAGGATATGTTTCTTCTCGCAAGACTGACCCAGCCCCCTCCCATTCTCGAGCAACATAAACCTTCAAAGACTCTACACACGCTCCTTCAAAGCTTTTTAAACTTATATATAAGTAAACAGGCCTGGATTGTTATCTACCTAGAATCTATTAAATTTCTTAATAGTCAGTATAATGAGCAGACTATTATATTATTCCTTTCAAATCAGGATTTGCTGTAGGCCATTTATACATCATTCAATGATCCTAAATGACGATTAGAAAACCTCCGTTTCAGTTGTGTTATTTTATAGAATCTCAGGATTTTTTCTTTTTTGCTGGACAAGAAAACTGAACTGCATTCATGTAGGATTAAAATCTTACGAATACACATATATTAATTCATGTGTGTATATATATATTTTCTCACTTGCACACATGCAAACACACACATACACGCTCTATATCATTTCCTTAAAAGGTCAAACGTTGTTCACTATGGTAAGTGGTTGAACAAGTGGTCAAAAGTTGCCAATAGGAACCAGTATGCTATACATCAAAAGATCAAACTGTTCCCTGGAAAACAAATAATACAGACAAAGCAAAGGCCAGAACCTGAGAATGTCCATATAGGCATTTCTAAGTGTTAGTAGCAATTATTCTGAATTACTATTTTGGCCATTGTGAAAAGATATATTACATACATTATACTCCTACTGACTCTATTCATCACTGAGATATATTTCATTTCCAAAGCACATCATATAAAACATCCACTTGGGATCAGTTGTCAATCTCTCTTGAAAATCTACTTCAGTAGTCAAAACAGATCTTTGACAACATAGTCAAAGTGCTTTACTAAAGGTGCTTTACTACTTAGCACTTTACTAAAAGACTGAATTGCTCAGAACCTCATTTCATATTTTATTTGTTAAAAAAAGAGGTAAAAAGAGAATGTTAGTTAAATTTAATAACACATGACACATTAAAATGACACGTTTGAACTTCAACAGTGAAGCTATGATTACTCCCCTCCCCCAGCACTCATGAAGACATACCTTGAACATTTTGTCCAGTTTTGGACATGTAAGAGAAATGGAGTACAAAGGCAGATTTAGCTCCTCAAAAGCATATGATACTTTTTGTTTTGGAAATATACTTCACATTTGAAGAAAAAAAAAAAGTGAGGTCTGAGATGAAACACTTTTATTTCATGCAGTCTACTGTAAAACATGAATATTCATAGACAGGGGTGGAAAATGAAGTACTGACCAGTCTCAGATGGCAACTTTTCCCATGATGTATACAATGTATATATTCAATACATATATCAAGTTTGTTACCAAAGGAATAAAAAGTCATGACTAATCCATGTGAAGTCTGTCATCTGCTCCTATTACTGCAGATGTACAGAAAACCACTGTACAAACAATATGTCATATTATGCATTTATGAAGCTTTAGAGTAATGCATCCACTGAGGATTCGGTGTGCTATTTAAATGCCTTCCTAAAAAGTAACAGTTCTTTAAAATTGTTATGAGTTACAACGAAAGAAGAAAAGAGAACCATAGTTCTGTGGTTTCCTTGATGTGACTAATAATTCCTGCATTTGTATAAAGAAATATTACAAAATGTACTAATCAGCATACACTTGAACATTAATTTTCTAAGTGTGGCATGCTGTTTATAACAACCATCTGCTCTGACTACACTTATTTTGCTCTATCAGTCCACTTTAAAATAAAATCAACACTGACAATTTTTGCAGAGGTTGTGGACATAATAAAGAAGTTGTTCATGTTTTGCATTCATTTTACCATGTATTGTTCTCATTAAAGTTTTTAATAGATAATATTTCAAAGGAACAAAACAAAATGAAGACACAAGTCTAAAACTTGGTGAAAGCCTGAATTCTCCAGAGTAGGTATAATCTTGTGTAGTGAAACAATACTTTGCAACTCTGATCGAAAGCAAACATAATGTTGTAACTCTAAATCTGAAAAATATTTAAAAAAAAACTCTTTCAAAGAGGAGAGTACAGTTTAAGAGGAAAAAAAAAAAAACAACATTACTGACTTGTGCCATGGGCCATATTTCAGCTGCAAGCAAGTAAACTTTTTAAAATTTACTTTTATGAAGCACCAAAATTTTGTAAACTATATAAAACTGTAGCAAAATAATTCAGGCTTGAAGGGCTATTTAGAGATCATCTAGTCCAATCTCTTACCCAGACTTGGCCCAGACAGATCAGGTTGCTCAGGGCTCTGTCAGGTTCTGAGCATCTTCACAAATGGAAACTTCCCAGCCTCAACAGCCACATTGCTCCAGTTTTTGACTAGCCTCAAAGCCTCATTATTTTGTTGCCAGAGTAAAACAGAAGTCCTTCATTTGAAAAATATTTGATTGATACCCTTCAATATTCCTTTTTTGATTTTCTCCTTATACCTCACAGAACTGAAAAGGGTTTGTTTTTTATTGACACATACCAAATACATTATTATTGAACTTCAATTAGTAAGAGCAAGAATTACCGTCACATACTTTTGTTGGCGAGCAAAACGGGAGACCAAGATTTTTAAGCAAAGCTTACTACTTACCCAACATTTTCTGCATCTTCATCACACTCAGCTCTGTATTTGCAAACTCCACATTTTGAACGCTTCCTCTGAACTTCTGTCCCAGATCCTTCATACTCTAAACAGAACAAGGCCTTGTTAACAGAAAGCACGATTTTCATGCGAGGCTCTTTTTGTTTATCTAAATCCATCTGTCTTGGTATTGGCAACTTGAAGTTATCTTATATTTACACTAAAGCCGTTATATTCCCTTGTGCTTTTTCTTTCAAAACTGGGCATTTAAAGCTTGTCAGAAAGGCACAAATGACAAAAGGGCACCTCTAGAAACAAATTACATCATCAGTTGACTCTTCCTTTATTGTCATTTTACCGATTTTTACTTATTCCTGCCCCATCCAGACACTCTATTTGCACTGCCATGTACTTCACCCACATTTAAATTTAATTGAAACTAGCAACATATAAACTCTGTGACTTTTAATATCCTTGACCTTTATGTAGAAGGGATTTGAATGCTATTTTAGTTGATAGTTTTTAATAACAGACATACTTGTAAGATTACCTTCTACACTTTTCCCCCTCTCTGTTTCTGATGATTGGATGAGTCTGTGCTCCTTTTTCATACACACTGTTGTATATTTTCCAGATTGTTCTAATTAGTTGTACATGACTAAAGAAAGGCCTAAAGAGTCATCTTAAAAAGAAACTAAATAGAAATAATATGTCCTCTAAAATGTACAATGAATATTACAACATCACTGGTCCTAAAAATCTCTGCATCATTCTTACTGCTGACTTCAAACCTGAGGACCATTGTGTAAAAGAGAAATATAAACTCAATAAAGTTTAATGTAGGAAAGCCAAAAATTGAGAAATGAATACTGAACAGCTAAGAAATATATGGTAGAATATGGCAGTATTCTGATAACAAAATTACTTTCCCCCAGTCAGGTTTTCATATTGCACAAGAATATCAAGCAATTCAATAGAAAGTTTTTTCCCCCTTAATTTTCCCCCAGATTCACAATAAAAAGTAATATATGTAGTAAAAAAAGGTAATATTTTTCAGAGCCGTGCGGATGCAAGGTACTGACAGTGAAATACAACTTTAAAAATAATTTATTGCTTTGCTTGAAGTTGCTGTACAGCAGTTCATCCCTTTCCCAAGATTCTTCTTACTGACGACTAAAATCTCAGTAGCGAAGCCATATAAAAAAATAGGCTTCAAACATTAAACCTCATGTCACTTCTAAGTAAACTTCATAGTTTAATTTTCATAGGCTTGGTAATGGCTAGTAAAATTTCCTGCCCCACACTTCATATATTTTAGAGAGAATAAAGCAGATTAAATGATTTAAGGTTTAGGTTCACTAGAAATAGTCTCTCACATTTTTAATTTTAACAAAGCAATAAAGGTGATAAATTCATTGGAAAAGAAGGAAGAGACCTACAGAAATTTGCAGTGAGTCAGGAACAGGTTAACATGTAACAGTTTTTACATATAGCATATTACAGTATGATTTTAGTATAAAGCACTACATAAAGCACCTGCTCTATTTGATCACTACTGATTTGCTCCCTAGTCACCAATAAAAGAGGGCAGGAGGCCAAGAATATTTCCTAGGAAAAAAATCACTTTCTAATGGTTCATTTACAGTTCATGACCCATTGATCGCCATTTTTTTCAACATATTATAGGTGCACCATGTCGGTTCTGAGTCTTCCTGTTATTTACATATGCAAGAGACAACAAGTTAGGTCATCAAGCTAGGTCAAAATCTATTCCAAATAAGTAATTCAAATTCTTCTTGTTTAGTATGCAGGCTTCTAATATTGATGTACAAATGACTCGAGAGTTTCTCACCTCCTATGATATCTTGATTAATTGTATTCTTGACATCTCACTTTCATGTTGAGTGAAGCTTATTTTCCCTCTCTTTTCAGTTTCATTTCCTGTTTCAGGGTAGCACCTCATTAATGCTCTGTCCAAAAGAAATGAGGCACGAGGATGGGATCTGCAACTCTTGACTCTCTGCATGGGGCTGTTCCCCAACACTGCTCTTGGAGTCATTCTTCTACAGAAGATGGCTAGCTATATTTAAGAGCAGCAGGGAGAGAACCTGCAAATGGATGGTCGCTTTGGGGTATCTGGACAGAAAATTGCTTCTCTTGGCAACTCATTTTGTGTGTTATTACAACTGTACTATGACTATGATTCTGCTGAGGGTTGTCAATTAAATCTGAAGCGAAAGTGTTAGCCAATGTTAAGGTGAAGTTTCGTCTGCCCACACCATGGCTTGGAAAGGGAATTCTGCTAGATATGCCTATCACAGTTGCAGCGAACAATGGGAGCTGGTAGGGAGATAAGATTTTCCCTTGTCCAGAAAGCTCCTCTAAAAACCAATTCCTATCTTTTGGGGGCACACAGTGATTTTTGCTGTCTGCCATCTCATGCATCTCAAAAAGATCTAGGAAAAAATAGGAAGAGTCATAGCAAACCCTCTTCTGTAAGCAAAAGTATAGAAAAAAAAACCTGTGGTCAGGCTGATTCTCTTGGTGCAGCTAGCATTGAAAATTCCTCTCAAAATACCACAGTATGAGTAATTAGAAGCTTCACTTAGCTGAACAATTTAGTGACTTATTCTCTCTTCCACTGATTTCAATTTCACTGTTCAATTTATTCATCAATGACCTGGATGAAGGCACAGAGTGCTCCCTCAGTAAGTTTGCTGATAATACGAAACTGGGAGGAGTAGCCGATACCCCAGAGGGCTGCACGGCCATCCAGAGGGACCTGGACAGACTGGACAACTGGGCAGTGAAAAACCTCATGCAATTCAACAAGGCCAAGTGCAAGGTTCTGCACCTGGGGAGGAATAACCCCAGATACCACCACAGGCTGGGGACTGACCTTCTGGAGAGCAGCTCTGCAGAGAGGGACTAGGGTGCCACGGTGGACCATGTTGACCATGAGGCAGCAGTCTGCCCTCGTGACCAGGAAGGCCAATAGGATCCTGGGGTGAGCTGAGAAGAGCATCTCCAGCAGGTCGAGGGAGGTGATCCTGCCCCTCTACTCAGCCCTGATGAGGCCACATCTGGAGTATTGTGTCCAGTTCTGGGCTCCACAGTACAAGAGGGATGTGGAGCTGCTGGAGGGAGTCCAGCACAGGGCCATGAGGATGATCAGGGGCCTGGAATATCTGCCCTTTCAGGAAAGACTGAGAACTGGGCCTGTTCAGCCTGCAGAAGGCTGAGAGGGGATCTAATCAGTGTATATAAGTACCTCAAGGGAGGGAGTGAGGAGGATGGGGCCAGCCTCTTTTCAGTGGTGGCCAGACAGAACTAGAGGCAATGGCCAAAAACTAAAGCATCAAAAGTTCCACAGGAACTTAAGGAAATATTTCTTAACAGTGAGGGTGACAGAGCACTGGAACAGGCTGCCCAGAGAGGTTGTGGAGTCTCCTTTTCTGGAGATCTTCAAAACCCGCTTGGATGCAGTCCTGTGCCACGTGCTCTAGGTGACCCTGCGTGTGCAGAGGGGTTAGACTAGATGATCTCTAGAGGTCCCTTCCAACCTTAAGCATTCTGTGATTCTATGATTTTTAGGCCAACACCAGTTGCCCTAAAATGCTGGTTAAGTTGGAGTTCATTTCTGTAATTTAAAAGTAACATTGCAAGCTTGCTCTTCTGTCTGTGTAAGTAAACATTTAAAGCAGGTGCAAAACCACTTTTTTCTATCAAAAAAGTTTGGCAAGCAATCCATGCTGCTTGACCATGCTGCTGAATGTTAAGCAAAAGAAACATTTTCCATCACGAATGACCCTGCTGTCTATCAAAGCACCCCCTTGTCCACAGGTGTATGCCTTGCTGAAAGAAGCTCTGCCTATGCAGATATACAATAGCTGTAAGCATGATCTAGTAAGGATACCAGCATCTAGGGTTAGATTTGGCAATAACTCACATATACAGGCTGAATACAAGGATGTCTGCTCTTTTTAGGACTTGGGTGCCCGGAAAAGTAAACTTCCAACTTTGGTGTCCTAACTGGAACACAGGTCAGACAATGATATAGTATGAGTTGTACTGTGGTTATTTTAATGACAGTGTGTTCTCCTTTAGGCAAAGGAGTTGAGGACATGCACTGCACCACTAGCATTTCTAGGTGCTAGTTTTAAACTTGTGACAACTACAACTTGCAGTTTGCTTCTCTGCATAATGACACCACTGATTACAGTACAGAAAGTTAGCATATTGGAACAGCTGAATCAACCTTTACATTGCTGTGATGTGCCACTAGAGTGGCATCAGGGAATCTTTTGGATTCCAGAGTTAGCTGAACCCAAGAGATCATCATTTGTCAAGCATGAGCATTTAGTAGACACAAGACACTATAAATGTATAGCAAATCAAGGAATACAACGGAAGTGGAAATATATATTTAATTACATACACACGCACACACACATATATATATAGAACACACACACACACACACACATATCAGAGCTCTACAGTCAAATCGTAGATCCATGATAAAAATAACCACTCTTGCAATTTCCTTGCAGGACACTCTGCACAGCACATTTCCTTGTAGGACACAGTTTGCCCTGGTTTCTCTAACAACAGGTGCATGGTACTGCAACTGCTCTCACCCCTCATGGGCCACCCCTCTACACTATAGCTTTTCACAGATTCTCGAGTCACTGGTGCATCACACAGAGCCTGCTCTCACCTGTAATGGGCTACCCCTCTGGTCTAAATTCCCCCAGTTTCTCCTCAACACACTGAGAAGAAGTCAGGGGCATCTCTGCTGAGGACAAGTGAGTCCTCAGTTCACCGACTGGGGTTCTGAGTGCACAAAGGAGGTAGCTTACTTTCTTTTCTACTCAGGCAGAACAATGCTGGCCAACAGCCATACAACAGCAGGGTGGCTCTAGCCAGTAATGGTGTGCAAATCAGCAGGGGACCTTGTGCTCAATACAATCTGTTTAACACTCCCGTTAGCAGGTTGTTCTGTGGGAAATCACTGCACAGCAGCCAAGACAGGCATGGCAATGGCCTGCAGTGTTCCTTCTTCACCTGGACTTGTCAACCGTGGGATTGCTAGACTGTGTGTAC